AAGTTCTTAACATCCTGTAACTACTTCATTGACATCTCAATTTTAGTATATACATAACCGGCTGCTATAAACCTTAAACTGGTTATAGGGTACTATTCAGCTGTCTCATGTCCATTTTCATTTTTATATTTAGCAGTTTATAGTATTCAAGTGTGACTTTTACTGAGCCTCGCGATTTTTAGGATACTCCAAACATGCTTATAACTCTAATAAGCCACATGTTAATGATTGAGGAGCAGAACAATTTTAGGAGGGGCATGCAGAGAAATCTTCAATACCTTAGTGAGGAATAACTGATGTTTGTGTGCTACCTAGTAAGGTATATGGTAGTCCAAGCTGACTTTTTCCTGTCTGTTCTAAGTTTTCCTTATTGGTCTCTGTCTATCTGATCTAATTTTGGGGGCTCCGACGTGACCCTGATGGGCATTGCAAGAGAGGGTGGGAGCCAAAGTTGGAACTAAGTAACGACCAGAGAAAGCTCCTCTCCCGAGTCCCGATGGAAGTTTACTGTTCTTCTGTTTCTGAGGACCGCTCAGGGCTCCTGGCTGTTGTTCTGATGTCATTAGACTCTGTGAGGAGGGTTCTGGGCTTCTTCCATCCCATGTGGGAGATCCGATAGGGAATGGTCGACCTCAGAGTTCTCAGCCTATGAGGGCACCCAGGTTCCCTGTGATCTCCTTGGCGGTTGGGATATGGTCCTTGGTGAGGTACTGATATTTCTTGGTGATGTACCAGGAGTCTCTGGGGTTAGGATACAAGCCTCCTCCTGTCCTCCTGTTCCACTCTGGGGTCCCCTCCTGCTCTGTGCATATGACCTCCTGTTAAGAGGCTCTCCAGGATCATTCTTGGATCCTACTGTATGTCTTTATAGTTTTTGCTAATGTCTAATGCAGATTCGAGTCTGCTGTCTCTAAGTTACCTGTTACAATCTTGATAGATTATACTTAACCCCTTCCTCACACACTCTAAGGTGGAAGATTTCTCTGCTCTCCTGACCCATTACAGAATAACATAGGGTATTAAAAGCATATCAAGCTTTTCAGTTCTTTGATGTAGTTGAAATCATTAGTTTTTTATAACTACTGTCCTGGAGTTATGACTTATTGTATTCTATTGAGTGGATAAAGAATTGTGTATATAGAAGGTATGTTTCAAAACATGTAACCCCACTTTAGTTTTTACAAAAAGCACAAACATGCACATGAAATGCAATTATGTTTGTGTGAGCATGGCAGAAAGGACCGGAACATGCGCAGCAGCCGCTGTTTCTGGCTGGGTGCGGAGGCCTCATTTTTGTACTGTCTGTCTTCTATTTGGTCTATACACAAAACACACAGTTAGGGAAACTTCTTAAGAAAAATACGCAAACAACCAAGCTCTGGTCTTTGGCAATCATGGCAAGCAGCTTTATTTACCGAATGAATGCAGACAAAGAGGCTGGCGATTTCCCCAGGGGAGTTCAAGGCTCCGGCAGTGGAAAAACACTGTGAGCTCATCCTCACACCATCCCGTCTCAGGAGAGGCCACAGAGACAGAGAAAGGCCTAGCTGGTAATTAATACGCGGGGCTCTGGGTGCCCCTGGGGACAGGAGCCAACATGCAAGCTGGGTTAGCCCCTCAGCCTAGCATCACAGAAGGTGCTTTAACCCATTATACCACAGCACAGGCTCTCACACTTTGTTCTTAAATACAATTTTCTTTTTTCTTTTTTCTTTACATCTTAAAAATTTTCCTAGGGGGAGGTGTTGGGGCACAGCTGGCTAAGATTCTGCTTGTTCCACCAGCATCCCATACTGGAGCACCAGTTCAAATGCGGGCTGCTGTACTCCCAATCCAGCTCCCTGCTAACATGCCTGGGGAAGCAGCAGAGGATGGCCTGGAAGGCGGCCTCCGCTCCTGGCTTCAGCCTATTTGGGGAAGATTCTAACTCTGTCTTTCAAATAAACAAATCTTCAAAAACAAAGTGCAGTGTTTTCTTGCCCCTCTGCATGGCACTCGCTCAGGCAACTCAACTATCGGTTCCTAGCTTAATCTGCCCATTCAGTCCCAGTCCCCGACACGCACATTCCACACATCCAGCTGGGAGTCCGGTTTCCTGCCTTCCCTGGATAGCTGTGTGATGCTCACAGCCATGTGTCCTTGCTGCTTTTCATGCAGTGAGCTGTATTTCAGCGACATAGCTACCTGTAAGCTCTCTCACCAGCTCTCTCTGTCCTTGCTGCCCCCCAGGCTACACTCACCATCTGCTTGAAAATCACTTCCTCAGAGTTACAGCACCTAGGCCATTCCAGACAGCACTTACCCTGTACGTCCCTAATGGCCACCAGTGAACACAAGGTGAGTGACAATTAGACGCACCTATGGCTTTTCCCAGTACAAACACTTGGACCCAGCAATTCCACCTTTCCACGGTGATCCTTAAAATATGCTCACGAAAGAGGACAGTGATAGAAGCCCTAGAACAGTCCTGCAGGATTCTTTGCCATCGATCAAGTGACAACGACTTACATATTCATCAGTGTGGGAGAGCCCAAGGAGAAAGGTGGTCCTAGGACAACTGGGACAGGGGAGGGCGGTGCTTGCTGAGGGGATCCAGCAGGTGACCGCTGGTCCTGCGGTCTTGCAGTTCCTCGGCAAGCCAGGAAGAATTCTTTCTAAATGCTTCTGGGTGGCCTTTGTATCCTGAAAAGTCCTGCTCCATTGTTTGGTCATTAAGACTAAAATAACATGATGGTACATTTTTCAAAAGATAGTTCAAGAAGAAACAGTATCCTTCCCTCCCCTCAAAAAAAGGGTCATGTTTTGCTTAGAGTTCAAAACTAGAGCCCTCTGAAACCTTCAGAAGGAATCATTTCCTTTCACTTTAGCATGTGAAATTCAAAATGAACAGACCCTTACTCTTCATTCCATTGCACAGTCCTATCTGGGGAATGAACCCGTGGATGGGAACTCTCTTACCACTTTCTCCTTCAAAAAAATCCTTTAAGGAAAAAAAAAAAAAAAAGAGTAGGGTTCTTCCCTTTTCCCCAGCAAGGCCAACACTCAGGCAGATGAGATCAGCAGTATCGGGTGTCAGTAGGCCCTTGCGCAGTGGCCTAGTGGCAAAGTCCTTGCCTTGAATTCCCTGGGATCCCATCTGCACGCTGCTTCATATCCCAGCTGGTCCACTCCCTTCCAGCTCCCTGCCGATGGTCTGGAAAAGCAGTTGAGGATGCCCCAAAACTGCACCCGCGTGGGAAACACAGCAGAAGTTCCTGGCTCCTGGCTTTGGTTTGGCTCAGCTCTGGTTGTTGCGGTCATTTGGGGAGTGAATCAGCAGATGAAAGATCTTCCTCTCTGTCCCTCCTCTCTGTAAATCTGGCTTTCCAATAAGAAATAAATCTTAAAAAAATATTTCGGTGTTGTTGGGGATCCCATTAGTGTCACGCAGGCCAGCAGAGTTCTGTCCCAAAGGGGCAGTATGCATGCGTTGTCACTGACAGGTGTTTTCAGTAACTCCTCAGCCTTCAGAGAAGCTGCTGGGGGGCAGTCAGGCCACTCTGGCCCTCGGCTAACTAAGCACAGCACTGCCTCGTTACTTACTGATACAAGAGAGAAGCCACTGCCATCTCATAAAAAATGCATTTTTACATCTCAACTGAAATATTATCCTTTCCAATCACAGGGTTACCAAAAGGATGGCCTTTCAGAAAGAGTCAGTGGTAAAGAGAGACAATCAACTTTTAGGCCTAGAAGGAGGGGTTGAGAAGGCAGCTGCCACTAGAAAGTTGTTGTGTGCTGCCCCCGCCCCTCCCCCCATCCCTGAGGTTTGCTTCTTTTCATCTACTTGAAAGGCAAAGAGAAAACCATAACAGCCAGATCTGGCAGGCTGAAGCCAGGAGGTTTCCTGCAGGTCTTCATGTGGACGGTGGGGGCCCCAGCTGGGACCCTCCCCTGCTGCCTCCAGGAAGCAGCAGAAAGGGAGCTGGAAGTGCAGCACCTGAAACTCGACCAGGGGTTCTCTTGGGGACACGGTATCCCAACTCTGCCACAGCACCCACCCCAGAAGTTATTCATTCCTTTGACTCATCCAAAATGAATCTGCACTCTTATTTTTAAACCAAATATATATGTATATATGTATATATACTTTTCAACAGATATGAACAGCATAATAGACCAAAAAGCTCATGTCACCATATTAGTAAATGGGCTATTTGCCAAAACTTGGGAGTGAAGTCACTTCCATCTTTTTCTTGTGTTTTTAAAAAGCACTTCTAAACAGGAAGTGAGAGCATGAGACAGACTCACAAATAGCAAAGGTACACATTTGGAAGTGAATGTAACATTGTAAAGTCAACCCACCCACCCAGAAGTCAGTGTAACATGCAAAGCCTGAGTGCAGTGAGCCTTCTGGATCGCATGAACGCATGAACGCTGACCTGCTGCTACCCTGGCCGATCCCCTGAAATCCACGCACTGAAAACACCGGATTTCTTCGGGTAGCTTTATTTTTCCTTCTAAAAACAAACCAAAGTAGCCGTGACGCCGACTCACACTTTTACAGTAATCAGAGTTATCAGTAAGCAACTACCACAGTTGACACACAAGTTGAAAGGAACACGCTCCTTGTTTTATCTCTCAGCTTTCAGTGTCACCCGCCACGCGTCACAGGGGAGCAAGGCTGGGTGCTCATTTGAGCTGAACTGCAGCTGCCTCGGCAGCACCGCACAGCTAAGGCTGCGGAGACGCCCGTGTTTGACAAGGGAAAGGCAAGCATTTTCTACTTTAAAGCTTGTATCTGTGTCAAAGAAAGAAAGAACTCCTGGTGGTCAAAACAAGGAAAACATACCAAACTGGAAACATGATGCGAGCAGGAAGCTAAGCGGACGCAAGGGTGCCAGGACACGCAAGCTGCAGTGTTTGCAGGCGGAGCTTGTACCCCCAGCAACCGCCACGTCTCCACTCTCTCACACAGGCTGGGTGGCTGCCACCAAGAGAAGACACACACACTTGTGTCGTGTTAGGAAGCCATGTTTTTATTAGAAGCTGCTTCCATCCCTCAGTAGTAGCCATAAGGAGGCCCCTGCTGGTTGTAAGCATAGTGTCCATACTGGGGGGGGTAGTGGGGTTCCTGTCTCTGTGGAGGGTAATTGTTACCCCAGGGTCGCCTGTGCCACTGATTGGCTCGATTGTCACTTGGCCACCCTCGCCTGCCATCTCTGCCTCGGAACTGTCTGTTATCGTGCAACCTACAATGAAACAAACAAAAAAATCACATGACAGATATCATCTAGCACATTTGATTTCTCCTTCTCCTACACAGTCAGTGGGAAGGTAACACACTGCAGCCGATTACAGCACCAGTTCCTCCAGTCCAAGCCTGAGCCACCTCCAGTGTCACGGGGTGTGCACCTTGGAGAGACTACAACCACAAATTCCAACCGAGGGTATGGTGCTCAGTCAACCTGCCACCTAAAGTGTATGAAGGCAGTGTGAATGAAGTGTCTACACCTTATACACATCTTGTTCCACTCAAAACAATACACATACACACACATACACCCGGAATGGCAAGAGAGACAATGACCAAAGGTGCTAACCTAACAGCACTCAAGGAAGTGACGTCTCGATCACAGACTGCACGCCAGGCACCAGGCCATCCTGAGAACGCTGGCTGCCACCTCTGCGGTCCAGCACGGCTGTCCCCCACAGAGAAGTCCTTCACTTGCCCCACGGAAGGCGCACCTACCAATTGCCTCTGTTTCTTTGGTTTCCGCCTGCTCTGCTGTGCCACTCCTCCACGATGGGAGGGGTGTCCGGGGGCCGCTTCAGGTACTCCTGGTACTCTTTGTCCTCTTCTGTGAATCGACTGGCAAACATCTCTTCAAAATGCTTGACAGCTTCAGAGGTGTCAGTCATGCTGAAGCTCTCTACGGTTTTTGAGATGTTCCCATTAGAAACTTGTAAAACATCACATCATTTCACCAAACAGCGAAAAACCAAGAAGAAAACAATTTAAGGCAGAGCAGTACTAAAAATCTTTGTGCTTTTACTTTGCTTCTATTGAAAGGCAAGAGAGATACAATGCTTTTTTTGTTTTTCTGGGTTTTTTTTTTTTTTCAAGATGAGAAATCGTCCATGTACTGGCTTACTCCCCAAATGCCCACAACAGGTTTCCTATGTGCGTGCAGGGCCCCACTCTGCCGCCCAGTGTTTCTGTCAGCAGGGACTGGGGTGAAGCAGGGGAGCCAGGCATCCAACTTGCGCACTCTGACACCAGACACAGCTTATTGCCCTGTCTGCACTTTCAAGTTGAAGGTAGACTTCAGACTCTACATGTAACATTCCTTGACTGCCATAATCCACACATTGTACTAACTAGGAGCTTCCAACAGAAGTATGAACAATGTATCATTGATGCTGTCCCCAGAGTTCCCCCAGGCAAACAGAAGTGACAGCTCAGAGGAGGTGCTGTGACGGGAAGGCCAGGGGACAGCAGGAACAAGGGTGAAGAGAGCACTCCATGGCTCTGAAAACTCGCAAGTTCACTGCAGACTATTCTGCAATGCGGAGCCATGGATGGTTTAAGCTAGGAAGTCTCAGGATCAAATCTACCAGGTAGGACTGCTGGTTTACATGGTAGGTCACTGCAACAATACAGGCAATATGCTATAGACCAAACTGAGGGAGGAACTAGACAAATAGCTTTAAAAGAATTCCCTGACTACATGCGAGAGGACCGGAGGTGAAATGGTAACTTGCAGGCTTGTGGTCAGATGACTGACAAGATGGCAGTGCCAAGGAAGATGGGCAGACGAGCGGGCATACCGAGTTTGATGTTGGTTACAACAAAGCCACCCAAACCGAGAGCCTGCGCACAGTGAGCTGCCCACAGTGAGAGCTGCGCTGAATCTGGCAGACAGAGCAACTTCAGCGGTGCTGCTTACTGTAGAGTGCTCACACGAAGTGTGGGGCAAGAAATATAGAGGGGCCAGCGCTGTGGCAGTGAGTAAAGTTGCTGTCTGCCATACCAACACCTATATGAGTCCCAGCTGTTCCACTTCCCATCCAGCTCCCTGCTTGTGGCCAGGTGTAGAAGGGCACTGCGATTCATAGAAGGACAGTGAACATAGGATGACAACTGATTTGGATATCATTTGTGTGAGGACAGCTGATTGGATATACAAAGCAAAAGACAGTTTCAAACAAGGGTGTGGAAACAGTTGATGGGTTCTGTAGAAAGGCTTATGGGAACTACATAAGCTCCTCGTACCTTCTCCCTTATCCTACGTGAGCTTCAGTCTAAAAACGCCTGATGCCACTAATAAACTTCGGCTATCTCACCAACACGGTAGCCCACATGCGTGTTATTACTCACTCCGTGCAGCAAGTCCATTGCTGAAGGACAGTGAACAGCCCGGGAAAGCAGTCGAGGACGGCCCAAAGCCTTGGGACCCTGCACCCACATGGAAGATCCGGAAGAAGCTTTCCGGTTCCTGGCTTCAGATCAGCTCTGGCCACTGCTGCCACCTGAGGAGTGTGGACCAGCCCATGGAAGATCTCTGTTTCTGTAATTCTGTCTCTCAAAAATGAATGTATAAAGTATGCCTTGTCAAAGACCAGATTTCTCATGCATCTGGGATTATCAGCAAAGTGTCAAATTCTCAAACACATAAAACACGTTTCAAATAAATGGAACACATAAAAATTGTTCCTACATTTCCCTCAGGAACAGAGAAATCACTTAAAAAAAAAAAAAAAACCACCCACAGCTAATTCACTTGGGCAGTGAAAAAATATATATACATATCGCCCACAACTCCCCCCAACACAAGTAAACAGATGTAATTTTTATCACTCCAGAAATGCAACTGTAAACAGAACTTTGAAAGATTAACTTACTCCAAATATTAGAAGTAGCTGCTGTGTTGAAGGTTTGGATGGTTTCAATCTGTGCGGGAAGAAAGAAAAAAAAATACAAACCAATCCTGCAAAGGCGTGGGAAAGATGAGTGCAGGGGGAGGGAGAGCTGGGAACACCAGAGCCTCAAAAGAGGAAAAACTCCACGATGCAAAGTGCTGGCAAGACTTGCAGAGCTCCCGAAAAACCTGCCGGCCCAGCTGCGGGTCTCCACAGTCACCAATGTCCGCCTGTGGGGTAGCTGGGTGCAGACACCTGCCCGCCCAGCTGCGGGTCTCCAGAGCCACCAGCGTCCCCCTGCGGGGTCGGGGGGTGCAGACACCTGCCGACCCCCTGCGGGTCTCCACAGCCACCAGCGTCCCCCTGCGGGGTCGGGTCGGGGGGTGCAGACACCTGCCGGCCCAGCTGCGGATCTCCACAGCCACCAGCGTCCCCCTGCGGGGTCGGAGGGTGCAGACACCTGCCGACCCCCTGCGGGTCTCCACAGCCAGCAGCGTCCCCCTGCGGGGTCGCGGGGTGCAGACCTTGAGACAGAGAGACCACGAGAAGGCCGGCTGCCCGGCCAGGACCGCGTCGGGAGGAGCAGCGGCAGGCAGAGAGGTCGCCGCGGCCTCCAGACCCGCCAGGGAAGGCCCCGCAGCCCGGCCCCCTCAGGCTCTCATCTGCTAAGCTCCGGTTCTGCCCGGCCGCAGCCGATCCCCGCCAGCCAAGATCACACTCACCCTGCCACCATTCACGGCTCCGGCACTCCCGGGGCTCTCCAAGGCAACCGAACCTCTTCCGCTTCCGGCAGGAGGCCCGTCAAGTCTCGCGATATCCCGGCCTGCCTAGGGACCCGGGCGAGACGAGACGTCGCCGTCTGAGAAGTTCGGCTTCTGGAAGTTTCGGGAACGATGAGCCGGTTAGGAACGTCGCGCAGGCGTCTGTCTGAGGGGAACGGGAGAGCAGGCGGTGGAGACGGGTCGCGCCGTGGTGTGTGTATGGAGAGAGGGGCCGCCTCCTCCTCCGTGTCCAGCCGCACGTTCCTCCTGGGAATCCCAAAGCCAGCGAGTCCCTCCCTGGCCGCTGCCCAGTGTTCCCAGCACCGAAGATTGCAGCATCAGTCATCGGCAGCCAGTCTCCTGCGACACCACCACGACATGACTGCCTTATACAACGGCCAAACGCATCAATCTGAACTTCAGACTCTCAACAAAGTCCTGTCATTTCCTTTGTGTTCTCCACGGGTCCCTGGCAAACCGAACCCCGTGAAGTGCTTCATGCTTGGAAAGGCTCGTCCTGCGTGGAATGCCCTTCCCATCGTCTCTAGATGTGGCGTTCTTATTCCCTTTTAAAGATTGACCTCGGTAACTCTGCCTTCCAAGTAAATAAATCTTTTAAAAAAAAATTTTTTTTTAAAAAAAGGAGCTCTTTCATATGCAAGGCAGAGCTGCAGAAAGGAGAGGGAGAGATTTTCTATCATCTGCTGGTTTACTCTCCCACATGGTTCCCACGTGGTGCAAGGACCCAAGCACTTGGGTGGTCACCTGCTGCTCTCCCGGGCGCACTAGCAGGGAGCTGGGTGGGAAGCAGAGCAGCTGGGGGGGTCTGAACCAGTGGTCTGGAATGGGATGCATTGCAGCAGGCAGTTTCAGCCAGGGTACCACACTACAGGCAACCCCAGATGTAGGAAATCAATGGATTCTTCAAAGCTTTATGAAGCAACATCTCTCTAGAGAAATAATTTGTCCTTCTATAGCATGCTGACCATACTTTCTGCACTAAATGGATTCAGTTATTTTGAGCTTGCCTACACATCTGCCAGGTTATATAAACTCCATCAAGTTAACTTCCGCATTTTACAATATGTAATATGTGTGCTTTACATATAAATTCTCAGTAAATATTTGCGAAATGAAGGGCAGAAATACAAATGCTCCAAGCCACGCTTTTAGAAAAATTCACCCAGCAGGAAAGTATACAGGGCAATGGATAAGACAATTTTTGTGTTGGTTAATAAATGTGAGAGATGGGCCCAGAGCGTTCGCCTAGCAGCTAAAGTCCTCACATTGAAAGCACTGGGATTCCATATGGGCGCCAGTTCTAATCCTGGTGGCCCCACTTCCCATCCAGCTCCCTGCTTGTGGCCTGGGAAAGCAATCAAGGACGGCCCAAAGCCTTGGGACCCTGCACCTGCATGAGAGACCCAGAAGAGGATCTGGGCTCCTGGCTTCGGATTGATGCAGCACCAGCCATTGTGGTCACCTGGGGAGTGAATCATCAGACAGAAGATCTTCCTCTCTGTCTCTCCTCTTCTCTGTAGATCTGACTTTGCAAATAAAATAATTAAATCTTTAAAAAATAAATAAACATGAGAGCTAGAAGGACTACAAAGTAGCACTACTCTTAGGAACTAAGTGGTTGATGGAAGAAAAAGATGCTAGGAATAAGGAAATATTTCAAACCTTTGAGGCTGGGAACTTGAGATTGAAAAGAGATCATCATCAAAAGTTATAAACATCGGTTGGATTGAAGGCAGGAGTGACCTCAGAGCTCCAGGGGAATTTGTAAAATTTGAGATGGTAGCGAATGTGTGATGTCCAAGAGATCTTTGCATGGGATTGTGAAAAATGCAAGACCAAAGCTCCGGGGGGGAAATCTACACTTAAATATGTGAATGTGTGAGTCATGCCTGAGGAGACAACAGCTTTGTCTGTGTGTACGATCTTTCCAAAGGAGAGTATTTATAGAGAAGAGCCGAGGGCCTCGGCCTACGCTTCAGGAAGGCTCCATATTTAGGAAGCAAAGATCGGAAATGCAAAACTTGGAGAGGAGCAATGTCACTGTAGAAAAAAAATCAAGGAGAATGTTTCCCCACCCGGTGCGGCGAGTCAGGGAGGGTGTTCAGAAAAGAGAGGGAGTGTTGTAGGGAAGCTTGCTTGTTTCCTTGGGACCCTATGGCGTCGGAATGATGTGAGCGATAAGGACTTAACCTAGAAACAAATGCACCGCTTTCCTTGAGATCCATGTGGGGCCCTCGGGAGCTCCCAGCCACCTCGGGCAATCTCAGTGGGACTCTAAGTATTCTAGCCAGTTTTCAAAATTTTCAATGTGATCCATAGCGTTTTCTTTTCTTCTTCTTCTTTTTTTAAAGATGTATTTTTATTTTTATTGGAAAGTCAGATATACAGAGAAGAGGAGAGACAGAGAAATATCCTCTGTCTGATGATTCACTCTCCAAGTGAGCGCAATGGCTGGTGCTATGCCGATCCCAAGCCAGGAGCCAGGAACTTCTTCCAGGTCTTCCACACAGGTGCAGAGTCCCCAAGGTTTTGGGCTGTCCTCGACTGCTTTCCCAGTCCAAAGCAGGGAGCTGGATGGGAAGTGGAGCTGCCGGGATTAGAACTGGTGCCCATATGGGATCCCAGCGTGTTCAAGGTGAGGACTTTAGCCACTAGGCCACGCTGCCAGGCCCCGTAGAGTTTTCTCATATTGATACCAATTATTCCATCTCGTTTTCTGACCTTAGGAAGTCTGTTTCATGAAAAGCAATTTTCTAAATTACTGGCAGACTTTGCAGATCAAAACTTTCTCATTGGAATCATTCTTTGATGGAAAGGAATTTAAATATAGTATTTCTGGGGGAAAAACCATACTGAGCCTGGAGGCCATAATTTGATCTCTGTTTGACAGCCAAAGTTCACTGTTAGAGCATCACTTATTATACTGTGCTGGGTTGTAATTTGCCTAGGTCTGTTGATAGATACAAGAAAGACTGCATTTTCACGCTTGATTTTTACTGTTTCTTATTATCTCCCTACACTTCGGATTTTAAAAATCACCTCAGTGTTTCATCTTCTAGCAACATTAGAAATGAAAATAATTTGTTTTGTAGCTCTAAAAGAGAAAAAAGTTAAAAGACTCATCATTGTGGTATAGTGCATTAGGATGCTGCCTGGGTTGCAATGCCAATTGGAGACCCAGCTGCTCCACTCTCAGCTTCCTGTTAATGCACCCGGAGAAGCAGCAAAGGACGATTCAAGTGCTTGGGCCCTGCCTCCCACATGCGGAACCAAAATGAAACTTTGAGATTTACAGGCCATGGAGACAAAATCACACCTGGGGATGATACCAGGAGAGCCCCCCATTACAGGGTGTAGGTTGGGGAGGGGCTGAAGGCGGGAACTGTGTGCCTACAGCATCTGTGTAAGGAATTAAATGCATGCGGCCTTACACAGTTCACCTCTAACCCCCTAGGTGCATCTCTTAGGCAGAAACCGAGGCTAATCCCTGGCTGGTGAGTGAGCTCTGGTTTCCTCCTTAGAGAGACAGGACCAGTGAGGCAGTGAGTGCTCTGCACACACACACACACACACATTCACACACTCAGTAATCAGAAGATTGCGGGCAGCCAGGAAACATGACAGTTTTCTAGTAACTCTGATTTATTACACATTACTGTATACATCCATTATATACATAAACATCACAATACTGAAGCATTGAGATGGATCATCTGGTTGAACTTTTTTTTTTTAAAGATTTACTTATTTTTATTGGAAAGGCAGATCCGCAGAAAGAAGGAAAGACAGAGAGGAAGATCTTCCATCCACTGGTCCATTCCCTAAGTGGCCACAACGGCTGGAGCTAAACCAATCAGAAACCAGGAGTCAGGAGCTTCTTCTGAGTCTCCCTTGTCGATGCTGGGTCCCAAGGCTTTGGGCTTCCCTCCAGTTCTTTCCCAGGCCACAAGCAAGGAACTGGATGGGAAGTGGAGCAGGCGGGACACAAACTGGTATTCAAATGAGATGCTAGCACTTGCAAGATTATTTAGCCAATTGAGCCATTGCACTTGGGCTGAACATTTTTTTTTTTCTCCAAATGCTGTTCCTGGAAATGGAATGTCTTCTCCAAGATCATGCAGATGACCAGTGGGCAAAGCTGGAACTATGAACCCTTAATTAAGCGTTCTTCTTTGAACACACATTGGTGAGTACTCATGATATGTCAAGCACTGTTCCAGGCCCCGGAAACAGATGTGAGCAAGGAGTAAAGTCCTGCCTTTGTGAACCTTACATTCTTCTGGTAAACAAACAGCCTAGAATGTGAGCAGGTGTGAGTGCTGGGAGGGGCCCTTCATCAGGGCCACAGACAGGACGTCCTGTTCGGAGAGCATCATCCAGAATGTCAGCACGTCATTTGCATCGCAGAAAGCCTCTTAAACACTTTTCTCCCAGCACTGTTAAAAAAAAAAACCCTGAATATTTAAAATGTATTTTCATTTTGTTTTCAAAGGCAGACATACAAAAGATCTCCCCTTTGCTGGCTTATTTCCCCCAAATATCTACAATAGCTGGGACTAAGTCAGACGGAAGCCAGGCATCCAGAACTTCACCTGGCTGCTATGGGTGTGGTAGCGGTTCCTTGGACCCCCATATCTACGTGGGAGACACAGAGGAAGTGCCTGGCTTCGAATGGGCTCACCTCTGGCCATTGTGGCCACTTCAGGAGTGACCCAGTGAATGGAAGAGCTCTCTCTCTCCTCTCTGTGTAACTCTGCCTTTCAAATAAAAATAACATAAATATATTAAAATATATATTTTAATATGTATCTGATACAAGGGAAGCGATAATCATCCTTTGAGTGTTAAGAGCATTTTTAAAGTCCTCAATAGTGGCATAAGTGGGGTTGATAATGGGGCACAGCAGGCTGAGCCTTCTTTTGCAGTGCCAGCATCCCATATGGTCACCAATCTGAGTCCCAGCTGCTCCAGTTTGGAGCTAGCTGCCTGCTAATGGCCTGGGAAAGCAGT